TGAGGTTTTTCAGCTGGGTTTGGGACTGATTTTCGTTGCTTTTGGGAGGCTGGTTTAAAGGTAATTTTCAGCTAGTTTTTATGAAGTTTAGATGGTGTTTTTCATAGTGTTTTTGGTGAGTCTCATGGCTGAAACTTGATGCTATTTGGTTGAGCTTTTTAATGGAATTTTTGGGTTAAGTTTCATGGAGGAGGCTGGCTGGGGGAAGAAGAAGTAGGCCCTAGGATTTTCCTTTGTTGCTATCTTCTGTCTCTTTCTATCTTGTGTATTTTCAGATCTCCCCTTCTCCTCCTTTTTGTGTGTGTTTTATAGCTGAAAATGGGATATGGGATTTGTGATAGGAGACAAGCATGGGGGACAAGGATTGGGGAACAATGGAGAGAGTAAGGAGTAAAGTGTGGGGGGACAAGCATGGGGGACAAGTATGAAAGTGGAGTGGGGAACAAGCATGGGGGACAAAGCATGGGGGGACAAGTATGTGGGACAAGCATGGGGTACAAAGAAAAGTTGAGTGGGGACACGTCTGGGAAGTGATAAATATTCAAGCACGGTCAAAAATTAGATGCTCACACTAATTTTGATGTCTCATATAATTTTAAATCAATTATAAAATAATTTTATACCGTTCTATTTATTAATAAAATTGATTCAAAAATCTTCAAGAACTAAGTATATTTCTAAAAAGAATAATGAAAATTAAATATTGAAATATGTGCAAAGAAAAAGTTTTTCATTTTACGAAAAAGAAGATAATTGCGGAACAACTTAGAATTGAAATTTGAAAGTAAGCTAATTCGGAAGAATTTAGGTATTGACTACAAAGAATAGATTCTTTTCCATACTTGAATATTTGATGTATTAGTTCATCTAGGGTTCTATCAAATAATAAAATTTAAAAACTAGCCATTAGAACTTAGTAAAGGAAGAGGATAAATCAGATGCGAATTCATGTTGAAACTTGTTTTAATTCTCCTATTTTATATGAAGATAATACCTTTCTCTCGTTATTTTCAAATGTGGTTCACATTAAATATGAACAAATATAAATTCTAGAACTCAATCACTAACATGGAAATCGTGTTCTGAAATTCAGAACTTATAAAATTGAAATCATGACTCTGCCTCTATGGAAGATATAAAGAAAATAAAAAGACTATTATTGATTATTAATTTTCGAATAAAGCTACTCAGTACAATATAAATTTAGAGTTGAAAGTTTAGTGCTTACTTGAATAGTTCAAGGAGCAATTGATATTAAGTACGGAAAATGGCCAACAATACCCTTAACATATTAAAAATGGCTTATAAATACCTTTTATTAACCTTTTACTCTAAAAATATCCTTAACGTTTTATTTTTGCCTCAAATATACCTTTGAAACTAACAGACCATGGATGATAAATTTTGGCACTTTAAAATATTCACATGACATTTTTTAAGCTTGCCACGTGTATTTCTTATTAACAAAAATAAAACCCGCTCATTTTCTTATAACCCAACCCACCCAAGTCGATATAACTCGCTAGTGTCTTCCCTCTTCTTCCAAAATTGACTACTTCAATAATGGAGGTAAGCAAAATAGACCCATCTCATTCTTTTCCTTCTTCCCGTCAGATAACCATAAATTTTCTCTTCCTTTTTTTCATTCTATCCATAGACAATCAGAAAAAATAAAAGATTCTAAGAAGAAGAAGAAAGAGAGGAATCAATCGTGGAAGAATGATAAGATGAAGTCAAGGGACATGTGAAGAAGAACTGGAAACGAAAGCCGAAGAAGTAGAAAAAGAAATATCCGATAGAACTCTTTAAATTGAGATGTTTTGAGAGATCTGAGAAGCTATTGAAAAGATTTCAATTGAATTCAACAAATTTTCTGCTACAAATGACATCCGATTTACAATTTTATTTTTATAACTATTGCAACTTCATCTACATGTTTCAAAATCAAATCTATAAAACTAATCCAAATCGACTATGTGTTTCACAAATAAATAAACAATATCTTCATCCTCTTAATCCCATATTTAGCTGAAAGAGAGACTATGGCGGCAAAGACAATTATGGTGGAAGACATTGGAATAATGGGAAGAGACTAGTGTTTGAAGAAAGGAAGTTTTGGTTTGAAGAGAAAAAAATTAAATTTTTTACTAAAAAGATAAAAAGTTCTTATTTATTTTTGAGATGGCAAGAATATTATAAGAATATTTTAGATAATAAAAAATGGATACAAGTCTAATAAAACGGGTGGATGATGGAACTCGGGTGGGTTGGGTTAAAAGAAAATGGTTGGATTTTGATTTTGTTTATAAGAAATACACATGACAAGCTTAAAAAACGGTGAAGGTCCAAATATACTTATGTATTTTTGAAAATGGTCTAAGAATATTCCTCGTTATACTATTAGGTTATCTATACCCCTGCAGTCATACCTTGGGTTCAAATATACCCCTCATTTAAACAGAGGGACACGTGTCATCGTCTTATTGGTCAATTCTAAATATCTCCTAATTAATTAAAAAGACTCATTACTCATACCCGAAAAATAATTTTCTAAAGCAATATTATTTTTACCAAAAACTTAAAAAAACAAAAATATTTTTTTCCCAGTTGTTACAAAAAAACTGATTTTTTTTTCTAAAGCAATTAAAAACTAGAAAAAACTAAATTGTTTTACCTAAAAACTGGAAAAAAAAAAAGAAGAAAATATTTATTTTTTCAGTTTTTACAAAAACATTACTTTAGAAAATTACTTTTCAGTTTCTTTTTTAGTTTTTACAAAAAATATTGGTTTAGAAACTATTTTTCAGTTTTTTTAAAGCAATATTTTTCTAAAAAATGGAAAAAAATATTTTTGATTTTTTCAGTTTTTAGTATAAAAACATTCAGTTTTTTCCAATTTTTATAAAAAATATTGCTTTAGAAAATTATTTTACAGTTTTTGTTTTCCAGGTTTTACAAAAATATTGTTTTAGAAAATATTTNTTTTTTTCCAGTTTTTACAAAAAAATAATTGCTTTAGAAAATTATTTTTCAGGTATGGGTAATAAGTCTTTTTAATTAATTAGGAGATATTTATAATTGGCCAACAGGACGATGACACGTGTCCCTCCGTTTAAATGAGGGGTATATTTAAACCCAAAGTACGACTGCAGGGGTATAGATAGCTCAATAATATAACGAGAGGTATTCTTAGACCATTTTCAAAAGTACAAGGGTATATTTGGCCCTTTGCCGTTCAAACAATGCCACATTGATATTTTAAAGTGCCAAAATTTACCATCCATGTGTACGTAAGTTTCAAAGGTATATTTGAGCCAAAAATAAAATGTTAAGAGTAATTTTTAGACCAAAGGTTAACTGAGGACATTTATGAATCATTTTTGATACATTAAGAGTATTTTTGGCCCTTTTTCGTATTAAATATTATCCTCCTAAAGAAAAGGTTTAGGGATATTTCAATGAACAGAAATTGGTGAAAAACAGTTTAGGTATACATCATTATCTAGTGGACCCAAATTACAGAAAGAAAACAAATGAGGGACATGGTGATTGGTGACATACATATATAAGAAATTTGTTTGCGATGAAGAGGTTCAAAGTTGCCCCTATACTATTTGAAATAGTTCAATTTTGTGATCGTTATAATTTTCGTCTATTTATTAATTATTGATAATAAATTATCATAGATTTATCCTTGTCATTAACATTTAACGGAGCTCCAGCGCAAAATTAATAGACTCCACGTAGCCTAATACTTCGAGGAAAAAGGTCAAACTGTACCCCTCAACTTTTGAATATGATTAAAAATACCCTTAGGTTGGGGTTCTAGTAGACATCAAGAGCAAAAACAAGACTATATTTCCTAAAGGCAGGGGCATAACAATTTATTGACAAAAAAGTTGCTCAATTTTAAATTATACAACCAAATTTGACCCTTTTTTCCTTCTAAATCATCAATTGTGGGGAGTAAATTTCCAATTTGGTTCATCACATTACAATCTATGTCAAATTATTCCGTATTCCTCCAGTCGTTGTCATGATATTTGGAATAGTTGGCACTCTATTTTAATAAGTTACCAACATGAACCGGAATTAAAGCTAGAGCAATTTATTGCATACGAGCCACAAAAAAAAAAAACTCCCTTAGTCCCAAATTCTGTCGTCTTTCTCTTATTCAAAGTCAACTTGATTCAACTTTCAAACTAATATAGACATGAATTATTTCTTTGTTCTTAAAAAAAATAAAATTGGAATTCAAAAATCAACTTAGAAGTTAGAGTAATATCAAACGTATTTTTTTCTCATATAAAAAGTTGAATGAATACAATTGAAAATGTTGGTCAGGGATTGCACGGATTAAGCTAAAAGTGACAAATATTTAAAACAGAGGAAGTAGAGTAAAATATATAGTGGGCGCTTCGACATAAAAATGGTAAAATTTCGGAAAAAAGTGGAAAAGAATTAAGTGAAAATGATATTTGAAATTAGAGTTGTGTTTGGATATAAATATAATTTTGAGATCTTTTTGAATTTTGTGAGTAATTTGAAGTGAAAATTTTGATAATAGCTTTTTGTAGTTTTTCAAATTTTAATTTTTAAAAAAATTCATCTTCAGGTGAAAATCGAAAATTTCACGGTTAAACACTGATTTCGAAAAAAGTGAAAAATCTTTAAAAAAAAGATTTTTTTTTGTAAATTTGTGGACTACTCAGCTAACAAGATCTAGCGACATGCAAATTAGTTGATTATCATTTTTCTAGGGCATGAATTCTATATGAGAGAAAGAGACAAGAAGAAGAAATGTCAAATGAGGAAGAAGAAGACCAAGGTATTTCTTTAGAATAGAAATCTCATTACAATTAGGTACTTAACAGTGCATTTATAACAAATAATGCACTGTTAAGTAACCACACTAACTAACTAACCCTTCTAGTATCTTTAATTGCTAAATGACCCCCCCTAACTACTCAAGTCATCATTTCTGCACTTCGATACTCCCTTCAAGTTGGAGAGTGGAAGACATCTAACACTCCCAGCTTAGACAGTAATAGATGATGTTGTGCAGCTCCCAAACCTTTGATCATCAAATCTGCTAGTTGTTGCTTGGTGGACACATACTCAGTGGTTATCAGTCTTGTCTTGATCCTTTCCCTCACAAAATGACAATCAATTTCTATATGTTTGGTTCGCTAATGAAATATGGGATTAGTTGATATTTGCAAAGCAACTTTGCTGTCACAGTGCAAGTGCTCTGGTTTGATCACACTATTTCCCAATTATTCTAGTTAAGCTAACCATCCAAATTGTCACTACAACTGCTGCAACCGTGCTCCTATATTCTGCTTCTACTGAGCTTCTGCTGATTGTTTGTTGCTTCTTAGACTTCCAGGACAACGGAGAGTCTCCTGGTTTGACAATGTATTCCGTAGTTGATCTCCTAGTATTTGGGCATGCTGCCCAGTCTGAGTCACAAAACATTGTCAGATTGTTTGGTTCTCCTTTCTTCAGCAGTAAATCCAAGCCTGGGGATACCTTGATATATCTCACCACTCTTAAGGCTGCATCTAAGTGTGATTGTTTATGATTCTGCATAAATTGACTCAATACTTGCACACCAAAGCTTATATCTGGCCTTGTAATGGTCAAATAAAACAGCTTTCCTATAAGTTTTTGGTATTTTTCTGCATCTTCCAATTGCTTATCTTCTGTATTCCCAACATGGTTGTCATAGTCCACAGTAGTTGGCTTATGATTGAGCTCCATTGGAGTTGCCACATGCCTGCACCACTCAAACCTGCCTCTGAAATGAGTTACATTGCATATTTCCTCTAGTTCAATACAATTTCTCCATGTGATCTTATAACCTCTATTCCAAGAAAGTATCTCAATTCTCCTAAGTCATTCATTTTGAAATTGTGATGAAGAGTCTTCTCTACTTCTGTAATCATATCGAGAGAATTCCCAGTGATCAACAAATCATCCACATACACCAAGATGATCACAATGTTCTTGCCACATTTCTTGGTAAAAAGTGAATGGTCATATGAGCTTTGAGAATAGCCAGCTTGTAATAAAACATTTGAAAGCTTAATGTTCCATTGCCTTGAGGCTTGTTTCAAACCATAGAGGGATTAGGGGATTTTTTTCAACTTCTAATATTACCTTATTGGTAAGGAAAAACAGTATTAGATATTTATAAAATCTAAAAACTTTGAAATTTAGAGACATGATAAGAAGATTAACATTTCCTAAATCACTAAATTAGACCATATTCATAATTTACTCATACTTCACAATTAAAGATTTTTATTCGTCACTTTTTAATAAAAGTTATTGTAAGTAGTAATTCCTTCGTTTCAATTTATGTAAACATATTTGACTGGACACAGAATTTAAGAAAAGAGAAAAGATTTTTGAATTTATGGTGTAAGATGAGTTATATTTATTTTGTGTGACTATAAATTATTGTATAAAATGAAATTATTTCTAAATATAAAAAATGATTATATTTTTTGATACGGATTAAAAAAAATAAGTTCACGTAAATTGAAACGGAGGGACCAGTATATAGTAAGTAGAAAAGGAAAGAGATATGAAGAATCGACAGCCAAAACACATGGTCCGCTCAAATAATTCCCCTGTTAACACGACAAAACAACTCACCGTCACAGACTTAGCGCCGTTCAGACTAATGATCCGAAAACGACAAGCGCGTAGACCAACAGATTACAAGTCCCCGTCAAAACGGAAAGACTAATAAAAAGCATCAGGGCCCCACACGTGAACGGCCCGGTCTAGGGTCAGCCGCTCATAAAATGGAGTGTGAATATCAAACTAGTCGGCCTAACCAAACATCTATTTAACAAAGCCCCACTTGCACCTTACATCGCGTGCTCACGCGCCTCTCACAACACCCCAGGGAAATCACCATATCTATAAGGAAAAGTTGCACTCTTCGTCCCTCAAATATTCACAAATTTTGCTTTCTATCTTTGTTTTATTTGGCTAGCAAATTCAATATTCAATTAATTCAAATGAGTACTTTTGATACTTTTATTTTTGAATCGTTACAAACTTAACGAATTACATACTAGTAAATCATTCATCTAACAAATGTGTGATGCTAATTTTGAACTACTACTTTATATTTTAAGATAATATAATTTTAAAAATAATCTAAATATTGTGTGTTTCATATATAAAGGGTCAAAATGCACATTTTAAAAGATTGAAAGTTAAATATTCTTAATCATAAGGATCAGAATTAGAGTTTACCAATTAATTAGGGACTGAAGGTGCTATTATCCCTATATATAATCTATCAATCACCTATTCTTCTTCTCCATATATATCTCCTATATCCCACACCCATTTCATTGTAACAAAACTCTCTATTACAGCAGGAATTTAGAAGAAAAAAAGAGAGAATTTAGTTTTCTCTCTTTCCTTTATATAAGGAATCGAAAATACCCAGGAAGAAACCTTTTTTTCTTTTTCAAGTTTCCATTTTAACACTCCTTTAAGGTCTTAAGAACCTTCAACTTTTTTTCCTCTGTTGAAAATCCTTCCTTTTTAAATTATTTATTTGTAAAAATGGGAACGGAAGTATTGAGGCCACAAAATTGTTTAAGGGAACCTCAGCCGGCGACGGTGTTTCATCGTCGGAAAACCGGAAATGGGTATTATAACAACTACGGCTACCGGAAGCCGGTGGTCAGAACGGAGAAGAAGAAATTGAACAACAAGAGCCAGAACCAGAACCAAAACCATTCTGAGCCGTTGATATCGAGGAGATCGTCGGCCGAAGGTGGAAAAGTGACGGGCTACGTCACGATTTTAAGAAGGGGCGAGTCGTTGGATTCTCTAAACCCGAAGATCGGGTCGGGTAAGAAGAAATCTGAGTTGACGGTTTACGGAACCGGAAGATTGGGTCCAGAGCAACCCGGAATGGTGCCGAAGCAAATTCGGGTCGGGTTTTCCCCGGCCGACATGTACGCCGGATCGGCAGCGTTCTCGAATTCGCCGTCGCCGAGATCACTTCCTTTACCTTCTTTTTTTAACAACAGCAAAAAGCAAGTAGAGTTCAAGTCGTTTGATGATTTTGCCACCAGAGATTTAAGGCGGTTGCTCCGACTTGAGTAGTGGATCCAACCCGTTTTCGCTTGAATTATTATTATCACTTAATTCTGAATTAGTTGGGAGGGACTATATATATGAATCCTTAGTCTCTAATTAGTTAAGTTTGACTATGTTATAAATCTTCAATATTCGCAACTAAATTCTTAAATTTCGGGAATTTCAGTTTCTCCATGAATTTTTTGGACATGGAGAAGTGAAAAGGTCTGAAATTTGAGAAAATTAGATGAAAAATGCGAATAATTTCTTCTTATAGTTGTTTTTTAATTAAATTTAGTAGGACCTATTTAAGATGTATTTATGTATTACTGGGGGATTAAGTATGGAAGGGTTATTGTATTTATATGGGAGGCAAAGGGAAGTTGAGTCAAGAAAGGGCAGTGAAGAATTTAGTATGGTTAAATATTAATATCGTTGGTGTGTGGTTATGACTAATGATTATGTTGAATTAGCTTGTAAAGCTTTTATTTTGAATGTTAATGATAAGTAATCAGAAGTATGGTTTAGGGTATAATTCTCTTTGTTCAGCTTTTTTTGTTGTTTCTTTTAACTTCTGTGTAATTAGCAATAATTGATCAATCACCTACTTTGAATTTCATGCATGAAAAGGATTAAATGGTAGAGAAGCTCTAATAACAAGAGAAATTCTATTTTAGATAGTTATTATTTTTAGGAGTTAGTAAAGTACAGTTAAAAGAACATTAGAGAAACGCTAATCTCTTTTGAACTTTTGTTTCAATTTGGGTGCTCTCCTGTTCATGAATTGGTCTCGAGAGAGTCAAATGATAGATTTAAGATAAAAATGGGTTCAATTTTAAGGTTTTTAATATTGAATTAATTATATTTTTAAAGTTATGAGTTTATATTTATTATTTTTATAATTTTAATAAATTTTTATATATAAATTTTTATTTCGTATTGAAAATGTACACAGTACACTAATTCCACCTCCGGCAAAGTCAGGATATTAAGTTCTTTTATATCAGGGTTCAGAACTTTGTATAAATATGTTTATTTACATTAATATTTTGAACAAAGAGTAATAAGTAGACAAATTAATATCTTCCAGATTCATGTCTGAGTGGGATACCTCTACTAATGATAGTGCCAGTTCATCTACTTCATTGCCCCCAATTGTTTCCTCTACCTCTATTGAAACAAAATAGTTTCATGTTCTTTGAATGATTGGTTAATTTTCTCCGTTCGTTTCTTCTTTTTTTTTTTTTTTTTTTTCGTACTACTAAGGTACGGCCCCTCCATATTCATTTACATTTCAAANTTTTTTTTTTTTTTTTTTTTTTTTTTTCGATTTCTGTCTCGATTAGTTCACAAGATTTAGAAGATTATTTCTCCTCTAAACTCTCAATTCAATTATTTTCCAAGAATGTTTGAACCAAGTATGTAAGTCATGTATTTGGAAGTATATGACTCGATGCTAAGTTTAAAAAAGGAAGTAAGTCTTTTGAAATTTATGATTTTAGATTTGCCATAAAATTTTTGTATTTATAAAATTATGTCGTTAAAAATAAAATAAAAAGTTTAAAATTAAATTATTTTTAATATGTTGTTTTGAAAAGCACATTGACACGAAAAATATGTCACATAAAATAGGATAGATGAAGTATCAGATATTCAAACTAATAGAGCTATATGGTGCACCGGAATAATTATACTCCCTTCGTTAATTTTAGTTAATTTTTTGGTATTTTTCTTGTAGTTCATAATATTTGTTTTTTCACGTATCAAAAAGAAATTAATATTTTTTTTCCAAAGTTGTCTTTGAAATAAAGAACCTAGGAGTATTTGTTATATTTTTAATAAACAAATTAAAATTAATATGACTAATTTTATTGTTAATTAATATTAAAATACGATATCCTTAGTATAAATGAACAACAAAAAAAATTAATTAAAGTAACACCTGTGTTTAATAAATAAGCACGGGAGGAAGTGAGAGGCATTAACTATAAATGTATGAATGATAACCTAAAATCAATGGCAATGGGGTTAGGGGGTAAGGCCGGTGCACCCGATGACCGGTTGGTATTGACTTCATTAAAATGACCATGATATTTTTTGGTTCACACATTCCATTGATAATATGATATATGCCTACCCCAAGAAAGAGAAAGCTTCAATCAAAAACCCTATCTTTGGGTCTGTAGTGCAATTACCTGGCAACAGCTTAGCCGACCATTGCATGTTCAAATTCTACTACTATTTTACCGGTTATGTAGCGGTAAATTTCATATTTTATACTCACTCACATTTCAATTTACATGAATCTATTTGATTGGATACGAAATTTAAAAAAAGAAAGAAGACTTTTGAACTTATGATGTAAAATGAGGCACATATATTATGTGTGGCTATAAATCGTTGCATAAAGTTAAATTGTTTCCAAATAAGGAATGTGATCATTCTTTTTGGCATAGACTAAAAGTAAAACGGAGGGAGTATGTTTTAGAGATATTGTACGTGCTAGCTTCATAGCTGGTACACACTAGATAAGATGGCTGAACTGTAGGGCCCATAACAATTTCCCATTTCATACATTCACACCTAATACTTATTTATACCCTGAGTTATAATTTTATTACTTTAGATGACCTATTTGCTTTTGTAAAATTTTTAAACTTTGAGAGCTTTTTATTTGTTCCAAAAACGTCAAATGTCTGATTCATGGTCCCTATGTACCTCTCTAGCCCTATCCTTATACTCTTTAGCAAGGCAGCAAATCATAAGATATCTTCAATAGTAAAACAAGATACAAAAGTAATACAGTAGAAGTAATACAAGACATTTATTGGAGTAAAGAAAATTATTTTTTTTAATAAACTCAAATTAATTAGGCACACAATAGTAAAAAAGTTGAAATGATCGTTAAGCATGCAAAGTTCAATAGTTTAAATACAAGTATTATCAAGTTATATGATTCCACTTGGTGCAAATTTTGTGTAATATTGGTGAAAGTATTAGCTTTTTTACAATGATATTAAAGGCAAATTCTCCACTAAGGCAAACGAAGGACGTTTAAGTTATGCTAATAAATTTATCAAAATGGAGCATGTTTGCAACAAATTATCTGTGATACAAAAATAAATTACAATCACAATATAAATATGAAGAAACATAATTTTATTGATAAACGATGCGGGTACAATTCTGTTTATTTCCTTGATTCTTTCTCTGGATTGTTCTTCATAATTCGAGGGCCTTAGCGGCGTATTTCTCGAACATAAGATTATGCGGACCTCTCTGGATTATTTGATCTCCATGAAAGTCGATCATTGTGTGGATGTTCTTCTTGAAGTATTTGATTATCAAGAAGAACATCTATTGAACACGACATTATTTTATGCCTTGATCCCTTTGTGAATATCTGAGATTTTGTGGGATACTTTTTGGAATGACCTCAATTTGAGAGCCCTTTTCAAAAGGAATATGTAACCCTTTTTATAGGAGTAACCTAGGGTTATGTCACGACCCAAAATTCACCTAGTCATGATGGCACCTAACCCAACCCGTCAGGTAAGCCAATCAACAACTATCCAATTTTATTAATATATAACTGACTCTAATACACTCCCCAAATACTGGTAGTACAAATCATGAGCTTCTAAGATTAGAATTTATAAAACTGGTATGAAATAAAAATACATCATCTGTTTGAAATATACATAAACAGATTAAAATTCTAAAGCTACCATGAATAAGAGGCAACAATGACTGGAACACATGTACATCTTCAAATCCAGCTCTCGCCATGTACACCAACATCAACATAAAAAAAATAATCTGCACGCAAGGTGCATAAGTGTAGTATGAGTACAACCAACCCCATGTACTCAATAAGTAACAAACCTAACCTTAGGTTGAAAGTAGTGACGAGCTAACACAAAGGTTGGGTCCACACCAATATCCAGAAAAAAAATCTCATAACAATAAAATTGAGGCAACACAAAGAATAACTCAATAATAAAATGCTCAGTTCGTTCACAGTTCCGAAAAAATAAATATTTTCTTTTCAAGTATAATAGTAAAACTCAATTCTTTTCACTAAAATCACCAAAATATGAGTAAGTCTGAAAACTGTGATTTTTTTCAAAAATTCTTTCAACAATAAGTAAGATGTATCATTTCCTTTCCAGATAGCCAGTGAAAAATGTATCACTATGCCCATATGCCAATATGTGTGATAAGTCATGAATGACTTGATACCGTACATCATGAGAAAAATGCATCTCTATGCCTGTACGTCAAATGTGCATGTCAATGCGATACAACTCAGTGATAAAACCATATGCATACTCTCAGAGTATCATTTCACTCAGTCCTCCCAGTCACTCAATTCTCACAATCACTCAATCCTCACAATCGCTCGGCACTCGCACTCAATAGGTACCTGCGCTCACTGGTAGTGTGTACAAACTCCGGAGGGGCTCCTTCAGCCCAAGCGCTATAATCTGCACGGACAACTCACGTGCCGCACGGACAACTCACGTGCTATACTATCAATATCTGTATCTGCACGGACAACTCACGTGCTATAATAAAGCCTATAAGGCCTGCTGCAGGTGGGCAGCTCCGATTCACATAATAATAAAGTATATAAAGCCAATATGGCTAGCTGCGGCGTGCAGCCCGATCCCATAATTATCCTCACAATCAGGCCCTCGGCCTCACTCAGTCATCAATCTCTCTAGTCTCTCTCTCTTGGGCTCACAATGTCATAAAAATAGCCCAAAAATGATGATATGATGTATCAATAAATAACAATAGAGACTGAGATATGATATGTAATAACATGAATATGACTGAGTATGAATTTTCAATTTAGAACAAATAATTCACAGCAATATGACCTTTGTGGGTCCCTATAATACTGGCACATAGCCTCAACATGATTTTTAATATGATTCTCAGCTCAATTGCTTTAACATAAAACTACATAGAAAATGTCAAGATTATTTGACTATAAAATTTCACGGAAACAATTATGTCAC